GCTTTATGTTTTTATTTGTAAATACATGTAAAAGAAATTTAAATCTTCTGTGTATATATTGCTATTACTTTGCCTATCTGAATAACATTATTTTTATATGAATGCTCATTATAAGTTGTCATTTCATATAACAGCATATCTCACCTTTACAACAAAACAATCCGTTTGAAAATCCGATTAAAATTGACCAAGTTATGGATATTTTAATAGTAAATGCACCATTTACGTTCATGTTAAGAGTGGGGGGTTCTGTCTGTACCAAGATGGCCGCCGTGTGACGACGTCTGTCTCCATTGGCCAACAGCGACAGGTCTCAGGAGGAGAGACCCATTCAATATGGCGGTGACGCAAGATGCGCTTCTTCACGCCGTGAGGTCAGCCGTAGTGCTGTTGTAAAGATAGACCYAAATTCAACCAATCAGCGCTGTGAYAATCCATCACGTGATCCGGATGAGTTGGTGCTTTGGCTCAGGGAAACAACAGATCGACTTTAGCCCCCGGAGTTCTTTTTCTGGGTAAGTTCAGCCGTCAGGTTGTACCTGTATAATATCAGAAGTTGCAGGGTGTTTTGTGGAGGTCCGTGTTGCCCGGTTGTGATATGTCGTTTTGAAATGAATCGGATATTTACTCCTCCGTTTGGGTTAGGCCCAGGCTAGTTCCGAGTCCGGTCTGTGTTTGAGCCTGCTGCTTTGGCTAACAGAACAGGAAAAAGTTCAGTTCGAAGTGAAGCTTGGTGCTCTTCTGTTCTTSTACAGGCGTCATATTGTTCACGTTCGACCGTGATTTTTTGTTTTTTGTTCAGCTTGGATGAAAGGCTCACTAAAGCTCAGTGTTTTCAGTTTCTTCAGCTGCTAGTGGCACCGAGGTAGGGCGCTGTGTGTTTGGATATGTCTTCTAAATTTTCTCAAACACACACAAATATGTGAATATTACTAAAGTTTATTGGAAGTAGACATAATATCATTCTTACAGAAAAACAATGGACTGGTCGGAACTGTGGAGTTGTGGYTATGAATAGTTCTAGAGGCTAATTGTAAGTAAACCACACTTTTTATTTTTTGTTCCTATTTATACATTCTTGATAAAAATAAATAAATCAATAAAGTAAATGCAAGTGTGGCAGTATCTAAATTTGGTCTGTAAACATCAGCCCAGCTGAATTCTTGCTCTGCCGGTAGGACCTCTGGGTCTGCTCCTTTTCTGTCAGCCTGTTCATGACCTGGTTAGAAGATGAGGAGGAGGAGAAAGTTGCTGCATTCCATTTACACTGGAACTGGGAAGTTGGAGTGACGTYATTTACGAGTTGATGGCATTCCAGTTTTCCCGCTTGTCATAGAAAAGATGGCCACCYGCAGCAAAAAGTCTGTTTTTACTGTTTTGGAGCATACAAAGGTGTAAAACAAACATACCTTGCCTTACRTCTGTATAAGTTGGACATCACTGCTATGGAGTTGGATGCACTCCTACTTGGTGTGTGTCTTGTGTGGAAAAACAACATTCTCCATGGTCTTCTCCTCTGCCTCATCCGCTCATGCTGAGCCCATTGTTGAAGAGTGGTAATTTGCCAAAAACAAAAGAAAAAAAACCTTTCAACTGCTAAAATCTGATATCACTCCATTTTTGCTTACATTTTGTGAAGAAGGAAGTTGCACTCTGTCAACCGGACTATGTGAAAACAGCTTATTATAGCACAACAGTAGATGGTGCATTTATGAGGAAATGGTATAATCAAATTTCATTGCAATTATTTAAATATGAATTAAATTAAATGCATTTTATTGCATAAAATGTACACATTTATCAGGGTTGTAAGTTTCAAGAGTAGGAAGCTATTTTGAAAAAATCGGGGACTGACCAAGCAATTGATCAYGGGGGTCTGGGGGTCCGCCCTCAGGAAAAAAAAAAGGGAAATTAAGCGATGTATTTATATGGAATTTGTAATATAGTTTTGATGGTGTTTGAAGAGTCCAAAATAAGTTTTATGAAGACAACTTGTGATTTTTTTCTTTCAGTTCTGTGTTAAAGGTTGTTGGCTTATTATTTGCTGAAATACCTGTGTATCATTTAACAAGACTTTAAAAAAATACTTTTATTGTTTTATCTACAACTTGTGGTGAAATAAGAATAAAAATGTATGTGCTGAATTTTTTTTTTCATTTGACCTTTTTTTATACAGGTAGTCTCATTGAGATCCAGAATCTCATTTCCAAGAGAGACTTGTTATAAAACAAAATTTACAAACACGCAAGTAATACAAAAATAAATAAATGCTCAAATATTCAAGTGACATTTTATCATTTTAAAAAATCACAGTACTAAATATATGAAAGCTTAAGGATAAATATTATTAAATGAACAAGTTAACATTAGAGTTATTAAGAGTTTAAATAATAGCTCAAGAACTTCATCAGCTCTTCAAACACAACAACTCTTTGGCCAGATGACCTAAAAGCAATTAAAGAA